CGCCCCCAACAACCAACACGCCAACAGCGTCGCGGAACACCGCCGCCACGTGCGTGCGCGCGATGGTCAGCACACTCCCCGTCAGATTCACGTTGTGCACCACGAGGCACGCGGACGCGTCGCCAAGGCCGTAGGCGTCGCAGTACGCAACGCGCTTCTCTGCGATCAGCACCGAGTCCACCACAGTGACGCGCGAGCCCGGCGGAAATCGGTTCGCCACCACCACGCCGCCGCCGGAGCGCGACTCAAGCCCGCTGATCAACACATCGGCGCGCTCGCCAGCAGTCGGGTCGGACAGCCACCCGACAACGTACAGGCTCGCTCCGCCCACAAACGTGCAGTTCGCCAGCGTCACGTTGCGCACGCTCCCTGACATCGACTCCACGTCCACCACGAAGTCCGCCGCAAAGGTCACACCAACGAAGCACGCCACCGACGTCCCGAGACCGGCGTTCAGCTCCACATCCACACGCACGTCCCGCACGCACAAGTCGGCGCCGTCGGTGCTCGGCGGCTCGGGGACAGCGACGGGCAGGCACGCATCGCCGTGGCCGCCCTCCGCGCACCTGCAGGCGCAGCCATCACTCGAGGCCGTCGTCGTGTACGCAGGGAAGCACGAAGCCGCGAGGGCGCATGGATCGCTGCACGTCAGAATGGTGACATTGTACACGGACGGAATAATGTATTGCACTCCCTCCTCGCCGTTCACAGTGTTGCACGCAGCCAAAATAGCTCCGTTCGTGAGATCGCTGGGCCCGGTGGATATCCGCAGCACGTTCAGCGCGACCGTGCTGGACATAAATCGGTTGCCGGACACAGACACCGTGGAGTCGCGAAGATTCACTTTGGGAAGAAGAAAAGCAAACGCATCCAATGGTGATACGCGGCAGAGGTTGCCGCTCAACTGCAGCCAGGAGTTGTAGTAGATGTTCGAGGAGTAGCTTGAATAAAACACAGCCAGGCTTCCCTGCATGTCGTTGCCCTGAAAAACAACCGCCGAAAAAGACTCCACACCAAAGGTCCACAAAAATAACATGAAGCACTGCACCGGCCTCGTCACAACGTTGCCTCGGATCACCACGGCAGAGTTGTTCAGTACACTCAGTGACGAAGAATGCATAGACCCCTCAAGATATATAAGCGTGCCGTTAACGCCAGTCATATGAAACTTGTTGCCCACCACAGCAAACACGGAGTGCCACGACACGCTCAGTGCAGATCCAACGACGTGAATGGCGCATGACGATGCCATCTCGGTCTGAAAAGTATTGCCGCTGAGCACCACCGCGGAGTCGTTGCTGATCGCCAGTCCATTCATCGAGACACACGACGGCCTCCCAAGTTCCAAACCCGACCGAGGGATCAGCCTCGTGACCGTGAAGCGGTTCCCGCTGATCGTGATGTTCGTGTGCGGTGGAAACACACCCTCCGGGCTGAGCAGCGCGTCAATGAATGTATTGCCGGTGACGACGATGTGCAGCGACCCCACAGCGGCGTACGCGTTGCCCAACAGCAACAGCACGGCGCCGTCCCTCCACGTGCATCCATCGAACGTGACGTTCGCCACGTCGCCCGCCATCGCCCCTATCAGCACCGTCAGAATCATGCCGCCCCCGCTGAACGTCACGTTGCGGTAGCACAGCCACGACAGCCCGCCGCCCACTGCCTGCGCAACCTCGGGGTACACCATGTCGCCGATGCACTCACCAATCGGCGGAGGTGGCGGAGTGGGCGGCACTGGCGGCGTGGGCGGTGGCGGCGGGCCAGCAGGCACAGGCGCCGGAACGCACACATCGCCGTGCCCTCCAGCAGCGCACCGGCACTTGCATTCAACGACCGCCGTCGTCAGCGGGGCAAAGCAGTCTCCCTCCTTCGTGCTCTCACCGCACCCTGCAACCGTCGTCACGTCGGTGATGCCGTGGAGCTCCAGTTCTGCCGCCGTCGTCAACTCCCGTCCCGCGACCGTCAGGCACCCAGCAACGAACCGGTAGCCGGCGTCAACCCGCGATAGCAAGGAGACCGACCACCCCGTCGAGCCCATATCGCAGCCCGTCAGCGTCACCACACTGCTGCCGTCGATGATCAAAAAGGTGGATTCAGTTGCGTAAAAAATCGCACCCACTCCCACGTCGTTGTCTCGCCAGTCCAACCAGCTTGACCGCTCAACGGTCCACGAGTTTAGTGAATAGATGGCATAGGACACGGAGCCGCTGTTCCCCACCACGCGCAACACGCTGTGACCTGACACGCTGAATCCGTCGTGCTGATAAAGCAGGCTTGTTCCGGAGGCCATTGTGTTGTTGAGCAGCGCAAAAACGGAGTGATCGCAAACACCAAGGATATTCAAGTAAAACAGGTGTGTGTATCCATTGAAGCTGCAGTACCGCGTGTACAGCGAGCCGCCGCCCACCAGCGACAGCGTCCCAATAGAGTACAAACCAAACCCCCAATACCTCGATGCATGCGCCTTGACGTTGCTGACCAACAGCGAGGACGCATTCAACACAACGTTTAGCAGCAGCAATACGCCAAACTTGTTGCTGATAGTATCCGCCAACTGGACCTCAGAGGTCTGCACCGCGTCAACCTCCGTGACGGCAATGTCGCAGTGCTGCGGGAGGGCAAGTGCAAAAGCAACAACGGAGGAACGCATCACCGCCTGGCTCACGCGGATCAGGACGCCGGACGACCCGGCCGACTCAGCGCCACCAACAAACCGCAGCAAGACGCCCTCACGAAATGTGCACCCGGTGAGCGTGATGTTGATGGGGAGATGCAGCGGCATACTTTCGAGGTAGAACGTCAACGCAACACCCACGCCGCTGAATGTCACACCCACGTAGCAGTGGTGCGTCTTCCACATGTTCAGCGTGAGGCTCGTCAGCGTCTGGTTCACCACGCAGCTCGTGTCGCCGTCGACGGCTCTATCCGGCACGGGCAGCACAACCGTGTCGGGCACCTCAAAGGGAAGGCACGACGCGCCATACCATCCGTCCTTGCAGCTGCACGAGCACGAGCCGCGGTCCACCGACTCCGTCCCGGGCATGTAGCACGCCGCGTCGTCGTTGCACGTGCCACACCAAAACACCACCACGCCCCCCGGAAACACACCGTCGTACAACACCTCCTCACCGCCCTGCAGGTTGCACCCAACCACAAACTTCGCGGGTGAAGCCACAATAGCGTCTGACGAGGCCAGATCAGCAAAGGGATAACTATCGTCCACCTGGCGGTTGTGTGCAAGCACCACGGTGGTGCCGCTGTCTGACAGCTGAATTTTGTGCTGGGCATGTGCTATACTTAATACTGAGGCTGCGCCCACGTTGTTACCCTCCACACGCCACTGCGCACCACCGTCGAGAGTCACATAGCCGCCAAAATACACCAACGCGGAATCCAAAAACTCCGCGCTGCCAACAAAGTCGCAATCCGCCACTCTCAACAGCCCCGCGGTGCTCACGACGGTATCCCCAAATACATAAACGCCATTGACCGCGCTCATCGTGTTGTTCTCCACGTCAAAGTAGCCGCCTTTCAAAACAGCGCAAACGCAAACGGACGACTCCACACCGTCCTCCTCCTCCGTTGCGATCAACACATTTCCTTTCACAATGGTCATGCCACCATCAACAATACCAATGGAAAAATAAACTGCGTGAATATTCCCCTCAATGTTGTTTTCAAGCAGCAGCAGCGTCGAGTTCGCCCCAAGAGAAGGCAAATAAAAAGCAACGGCGTGGCTCGACGTCGTCTCAAGCGTACTGCCCGCCACCAGTATCTGGGAGCTCGCACCAAAATCACCGGCAAACTCCAAAGCACCGGAATCCAGCAACGAGGATTTCACGCTCACGTGCACGCGCGCACCACTCCCCTTGATCGACAGGCCCACGAGGACGCACTGCAGCAGCGTGATGTTGAGTGTCTGCTGTGGCGCGTCAAAACGCAGCAGGTCCAGCACAATCGCGGCGGTGAAGGTCACGTTGACGAAGCACAGACCACGCACACCGGGATCAGGATAGTCCACGGAGCTGATGCTGCCACCGTGCACGCAGCGGACCTCCGTGTCGTCCGCATCGGGGAGCGGGAGCGGCCCAAGGCCGTCCGGAACCGCAGCCGGCAGACAAGTGTCGCCGTGGCCGCCAGCAGCGCACACACACGCGCAGCCGCTGATGCTGCTCGTCCTCGCCGCAAAGCACACGGCGTCCACCGTGCACGCACCGCAGTCCAACACCGTCACGGGTGATCCAATGTTGAGGTCGTATTGGTAATTCGTCACAGGAGAGCCCATTGCCTCGTTGCACACGCCGTAGATGATCGGGCGCGCGTCGGATGATGGTGACCAGTTGCTTGTCATACAGGTAAAGGTCGAGTACGAGCCGTACGTGAAGTTGTTGTAAAGTATCGACCACACACTCTGATCGCGGAACGCCATGCCGTAGTGGGCAGCCACGTACACAACGTAGGCGGCGCAGAACTCGTTGTCGCGGTGCACCAGCCAGCTGCCGCCAGTCACAGTCAGCGTGTTTGCCATGAGCATAGCGAAGCTGAGGCGGAAAGTGCTGGACACAATCTGCAGCACGCTGCCGCCAGCCACAGCAACATCCCTAAAAACGAACGCGCCTTCTTGGGGTTTAGCGCTCGGTGCACTCCACGAGCTGTTCTGTATGGAGAACACGGAGCCGTCGCCGACAAGCAAGTCCGACACAAGGGCGTACATCACGTGCGCCCGCGACATAAGGAAACAGTTGTCCATGTAGAAGACGCTGGACAGGTACGCGACAAGGCCGCGCTCCACGAGGATAGCAGCACACGATTCCCCGCCACACACCAGCGTCGACCGCGTCATGACAAACCGCGTCGACAGAAGCCGGACACCGTCCAGGACAAGCGCGGGGCCGTACCGAAATCCCGCATGGCCAGGGGTCGTCGGCACGTACTGCGACCCGCCAACCGTCGCACGCAGCGTTGAGTTCGCCAGCAGCACACTCGAGTGCAGCGGCATCGCGCCGTGCAGCACAATCGTGCCCTCCATCGAAGTCACATTCGTCATGTTGACGAGGACGTGCGGCATCAGGCGCGCCGTGCTCTCGCTGAGGCCGCCAATCCGCAGCTGCGCGCCGCCAACAAGCACGCAGTGGCGCAGCGTCACGTTCAGCGCGTCAGCGAGCGCGTCCATCGAGCGCAGGTCCACCGCCACAGTGATCGGCCCACCGAACACCACCGAGTCGAAGCACGCCGTCGCACGCCAGCCGCCAACCGTCACCGACTCCGTCAGCGTCACGCCACTCACGCAGCCCTCCGCAGTATCGCCACCACCGCCGCCGGCCCTCGCAGGCGGCACGTCGAACGGCAGACACGCCTCGCCCACACCGCCGGCACGGCAGCTGCACGCGCAGTCGGAGAACGACGCAGTCAGCGCATCGAAGCACGCCAGCGCGGCCGCACAGCCGTCGCACGGCACCACGCTCACGGAGGACAGGCCGGCCATGCGGTAGTCGCCGCT